TTGAATCATTTGAGCCAGATAAAAAAGGAAGGTTAGGTTGTCTGACAAAAACCTTTTTGCTGAAGTGATGCCCAAAAGAAAGGTGTACTTTAAAGACAGTATAAAGAAGTTTACCCCATGGATTCAAGGAGAGCATGAATGTCAACTCAACACTAGATTGTTCCACTGTGCATGGGATCAAAGACCTTTGAAGAGATATTGCCTTCAGAAAGAGGGAGAAGTGTGCATGAAGCAGCACAGCAGTACTGTGAGAAAACTAGATCTCGGATCTTTATGAAAAGCTGAGTAGACGAAATGTTAAAATGTCTTTTGTTACCAGTAGAAGGGGGTTGTATTTTTCCATATGACCATGAACATCAGGTCATTAAGCTGCTATGGTAAATCCAGTTGGCAGTGTTTCCTGTTTTTGAAGAGGAAATTGAATGAATCCTGTGAGACACCATCAAAATGTGGCCACTTAGGATTCCATGCAGAGAGTTTCAGATGTGAACAGCCTTTGGGAAACTTTTCAGTGAATGAGGTTCTGAGATAATGGTAAAATCCACAGCTGACATACGCCTTGGGAGCTATGGTCACCTGGCCAAAATGGAACTTAGAAGTTTTCCTGCAGCTTGGTTGTCAATCTTTCTAGTTGTCCTGGATGTTTGAGGGAAGGGAGGAAATACATAACCCTAGGCATCTGACCAGAGGAACAACAAGGCATGGATGCCAACTTGAAGAACAGATTTTGTTCACTTCGTGTTGGATAAATCCACCTGTGGAAGGAACCACCTCCAACCAATCTCAAACACTTGTGGGCTAGATGCCAAAAAATGGAAACTGAACCAGCAACAGTTGAGCTTGTCAGTGTAACTTCTGGTCTCAGCGTAGAGGTACATGGTTTTGGGGGACAGAGCCAGATGTTCCAAGTGCAACAGGATCTTGCTGTTTAGGCTTTTTGCTTTTCATTTCACCTTGATGGTTAAGATAAATCCTCATGGTTCTGGAGCCACTCTACATGTGGATGGTTATAAACTATGGAAGAATACATGGAAAGAGGCTGATTGCTTCATTCCCCACTGCTCACAGCTTCAAGCAGTTGATGCTCAGCTGCAACTCCTGGGGAGACCACTTGTCCTGAACCATATTTAGACCTATCTGAGCTCCCAACCCTGACAGGTTGGCATTTGTGGTCATTTGGGTTCCTGGCAGATCTGTCAGTTATTTGTCTTTGAATAGTTGATGGGTGAGGGACGCTCCACCAACACAGGTAGTGCTGCACTTCTGGGAATAGGTGCAATAGGTAGTCCATTTCCTGAGTTTAACTCCAGTGACCAATCAGAAAATTGTGAAAGGGCCAGAGGTAGAGCTTTGGGATCATTTCCATATGATCCCAACAGGCCTACAAGCCAGAGGCACTACTGTGCTGAAATCTGTTGAGTGCAGGAGAAATGATTGATGAGAACATGAATTTTGTTTGTTTTTTTCTCAGAAAATATCACTAAGGCCCAAGATGGTTTTGAAGAATTCTCCCTGATGTGACAGCACCTGAGGGAGTTAGGGAGAAATCCTACAGATAAACTTCTGTAAGAACCTAGGACACTCCAGTCTGGCAAATGTGAAGTGATGAGCTGTCCTTATGATTGTTTCTTTGTCAACAGGTTGGATGGCCCTTTTCCTCAACATGGTTACAAAAATGGCTGTTACAATGGTAAACACCCATGGAGAGAATGACAGGCTGAAGGACATTGCCTGGAATTTATATTGTTTGTTTCTGACTGCAAAGTGTTGAAATTTGTGATGACAGAGGTGTATCGGCACATGCAGACCATGGGAGCACATATACTTTTCTGCATGTTCCAGATGCACTAAGATCAATACGTTTTTTCTAAAGCACATGTGGAAATAGCAATTTCCCATTGTTTATAACTGGGTCAAATCTGGCTGGACGTTTCTTAGAGACAGCAAAAAGCATCTCTCTGACTTCAGGACTATCCCTCTGTTAAATTTCAACCCTTTGGGGCTATCAGCTGGTGTATTTTAGAGAAGCCATAAGGCTACACTAAAAGTATGATGGGGTTGGGGCTGGCATAAAACTGCCTTCAAGAGCTGTAACTAACTCCTTGGCAGCTCCCCCTCTCAGCCCATCCAGAATGTTCACTATGAAAGAAAAGCATTAAATAAGATTAATATCTTAATTCCCTAAACTCGAGGAGAGATTCCATTTTATTCTTAGATGCAGTGCATGAAATTCTGATCTCAGTTACTCAGCGTAAATCCAGAGTAATTCTACTGTTTTCAATAGAGTTAATCCAGATTTACACCCAAATAACTGAAAGCAGAATTTAGCCAAGAAATTTCCTGAATTGTTTGTATTTGTCTGGCAGCAAATAGTCTGACATTATGCTCACCAAGATCACTGGAACAAACATCTTTTATTAACACATGTTTAACAGGTTTTAAAATATTCATAGGAAATGTACATTATTGTTATTTGGCACTGGCAGGTTAGACTTTTAAAAATGCATGGAATCAGTTACTGGTGTCAGACTGATGTAAATGAAAAAAATATTTGAAATATCTATTAACATTCTCTTCAGCATCTACCTTTATATTATAATATTTTTTTCCCAGACAACAGATTTTTTTATGGTGATGTTTACTGAATTTCCTCTCATCTTTTCTGATTTCTTGCTAGTCGGGTGAAACAGCTATTATAAAGAAAATATATATGGTCAAATCCTCAGCTGGTGTAAATTAGTGTAATTGTATTGACAAACAGAGTTACCGCTATTTATAGTAGTTGATCAGGCCAATATACCTATATATGTGATCTTTCTATGGATATTTTGTGCTACAGAGGCACATATTTGTGGGGTAAAACTCAAATATGGACATGGGAACATGTCTTTATTTTACCAGGTTAAGAGATACAGGAAATTTCAACTGTCAAAATTGCACTTTAAAAAGTCAGAGGATATTGGTTAGAAAGACCAGATATTAAGTGTAGCTCTGGCAATAAGCTGTCAGTATAGGTGGCTTTACAAGCAACACGTTGAAGCCTTGACAGAAATACTACTTATGCCCATTGCCAATCATTCAGTCTTTGTCAATTGAATTGAACATCCTTTCAGAGATGGCAGCCTTCCACAATGACACCAAAAATACAGAGTCCTCAGTCACCATTATAGTGGTGTAAGCTGTGTTGGTAAATTACAAACACAGAAATTGTTGGATAGTGGAGATATATCAGCATATATTCTTTATCAATGCAAATGGAGCAGGGCATGGGAATGAAATGCACGGTCACTGAGAGGATAGAGTTTATAACTGCACTACAAAAATAGTGTTTTTCAAGATGAAAAACCAGATGTGGCAGCAACAGTTTAAGAAGCAAATGAATAGCAATTTTCAAAACATTAGAGCTGGGCAAATATCAATGGAAAGCTTTCCATTAATTTTTCTTCAAATGTTTAAATGAATTCACCTAAGCCACATCACGCCCCTTTTGTGTCAATTACCTACGGACATTAATGCAATCAAATTGTTCATAAAAATGTTTGCAGAAGGTAAAATTCATTCCTGTACAGAAGGCACAAGTCCTATGCACCAGTAAAATCCCATTTATGGGCTTAAGTGGGAATAAAGTGGAGCATAGGTCTTGAAAAAGCTCTGTGAACAAGAGTGAATTTCACCCAAAAAGCATATTTAGAAGTTGCACACACACATATTTGCAAAAACCCTATTTTAAACTCATACATCAATGACTGAGCTCAATGTGTACTCATCCCACACAGGAAAAAAAACAATATCGTGCGATTTACCTGACCATTCTCAGCTAACTATTATAGTCTGAACAACAAATATTCACAGATAACTGTTCAGTCAATCCACAGTTTAAAAAAAAACAAAAAACGTATTAAGTAATTTTACAGAACAAGTGCATTAAAGGAAATTATGATCTGATCAAAAATCTTCATAGGTAGAAAAGAGGCTAAGTCTCTCGTTCCGCAAAGATTGACTCATATACTGAACTTTACTCATTAATGTGATTAGTCCCATTTAAATCACTATTAAATCATTTCCAAGATTGGGGCCTACATTTGTCTGATAAGTTACCTCTTGTGAATTATTTGCCCAGCTGTAAAAAACATGTCTCCAACTGATGATATATTAAGACTTATTTCTGTTTGAGATATTTTCTGAATACAGGTTTTAGAGTGGTAGCCATGTTAGTCTGTATCAGCAAAAACAAAGAGGAGTCCTTGTGGCACCTTAAAGACTAACAAATTTATTTGGGCATAAGCTTTTGTGGGCTAGAACCCACTTCATCAGATGACTGGAGTGGAAAATACAGTAGCAGGTATAAATATACTGCACATGAAAAGATGTTAGTTGCCATATCAAGTGGGAGGTCAGTCTAACGAGACAATTCAATTAACAGTAGGATACCAAGGGAGGAAAAATCACTTTTGTAGTGGTAATGAGAGTGGCCAATTTCAAACAGTTGACAAGAAGGTTGACACGAAAGCTTATGCCCAAATAAATTTGTTAATCTCTAAGGTGCCACAAGCACTCGTTTTTTCTGAATAGTCTGCTTTGATCTTAGAGAAAGGGGTGGGAATAATGAGGAGCCACAAATGGTGGCTAATTTATACCCCAATTAATTCTGTTACTTTAGGCCCAAGGTGCCTGATTCTGTTTTCACACCAGTGTAAATCTGGAGTACAAGGAAAAGCAGGACCAAGAAGTTGGGATTTTAATTTTTCAATTACAAAAAATATTTTTCTCTCAGAATTTCTCTTGTTTATTAAATGAGTGATATGACAGGAGGCATCTCTTAGGCGAAGATTTTGATTGTTCTGATATCTGGTATACTGGGGTCATTAGCTAATTATTTGAAAAATGCAAGAAAACATTTTTCAAAGCAACAGCACACTTCAAGACGTGTGGTTATGGCTCTACTAGATACCTTCATTACACAGCCATTGGACTTCAGCTATGCTGTATCTGAGGTATATGTGCATTTGTGTGTTTGGTAACTGCACACCTTCTCATGTGTTGTTTTTATATTGCACTTAGTACCTGTGCAACATATGTCAGTTAAAATGGCTACATTCACACCCCTAGCTTTAATGTCAACCAAATGACAGTAGAGGGAGTTTGCAAAATATGAACCAATTAATGCCAGACTTAGTGGATGAGTCAAGGGGCTCGCAATAATAAATTGTGCCTTCTTCTTACTGATCACTTGTTTGAAACAGGATCCAAAAGTCCTACAGAAAGCTGCTGCACTCCTTAGGTGGCATCAGCCCAATGACCACAAAATAAATGACATCCTTCTTTACATGCTGAACAAGATGACAAGGCTATATCTTCATTTACTACTGACGTCAATACATTTACTGATGTAAATGAAATCAGAATCTAGCTTACAGAATGCAAAAAAAAAAAAAACCGCCCTGACTCTAACAAACTATACACACTAACAAATATTTTTCTTTATCTGCATATGGCCATATGTGAATAGAGAGAGACATTATATAATGAAATGAGGTATTTCTCTGAAAAATATTCCTTTACATCCATTTAATAAACAGTTCACACAACTCATACAAGATTTTTAAGGTGTTTTTATTACTGTAGCTTAGCTCTCAGAGAGAAAATATGTTATTACTATTAAGCTAATAAAATGAGATAAAAGAAAAAGAAATCATATGCAATGCTAGTTTAGCCAGCAGAAGGATATGCATTTGTATTATCTTAAACATCTGTTAGCAGATAAGTGGGACTGAACTGTGTATTTTTGCAAGCTACTTACTGTCCTCTGCTGTAATCATTGGAGTCCAGTCACTATATGTATTACCATAACCATTGGAGACTATCATTCTCATCTCGTACACTGTATATGGCTGAAGATCTTTGACTATGTAGCTTAAGGAAGCAGAGGGACTGGAAAATAACCTGGAAAGAAATGAAGAATGAGTTATAAAGCTCCAAAATACAAGGGGTGGGGGGAGGGGGTAGAAAAGAAGACAAAAACACCCTACGGGTGAGCCACCTCTAAAATAATTTTACTTCTCTTCACTGACAATTTACAGAAGATTTTTATTGTTTGCATACTCTAGAATATCATCAGTGGAATTCCTAGGCCTCATCTGGAGTCGATAACTGGGTAAGCCTGGAGCATTATTGCGAACTGGTGTAGACCAGACAACCTGAAGACTGGTCGGCGAGGCAGATGAAAGCCTTGGAGGCAGCATGCCATCTGGAGCTGTCGAAAAACATGGATGAATTAGAGCAGAGAAAACCGTGGAGAACATATGCTGGATGGAATCAAAATGCTCCATATACTGGAAAAACTGTTCCTCACGATCAACAGCGATGTCAACATGGTCCATTTAATTTAACATTTTCGTTACTGAAGTACTGTACTTCTTTATGTTCTTCTTTCCAATACAATTACACCAATATCACTGGGTTGAGAGCAACCCCCAAAACACCAAAAGTATATCAGCCCCCCTGCACTGCCAACTTTACTCACATTGAAGTCAAAGGAACATCTCATTGAGGAAGTATTACTCAATCTGAGTAGCAGGGCAGCAAAGTCAGGCACTTTATTCAAATACCCCTCCCCTTCTCTCATTAAAAACGTGATACAACATTTAGCAAATCAGATACTCAGCTGGTATAAATGAATGTAGATCCACTGAAGTCTGGGGATTTGGACCAGTATTTCTTCCATTTGATTAATTCTAACTTTTATTGAGTGGGCCCAGGAATCACAGATCCAGCCCTATTCCAGGTTCTGAGGCAGTTCTTCAGCCGGTATCAATCGGTGTAATCCCATTGAAGTGATTTACACCAGCTGAGATTGTGGCCTTATGTTTTTCTCACCATGCAGGACTAACCTGGTCGATAAACCTTTCATGTATAACACATTTGACATTTGTGTATTGGATGCCAAAACAGCATATTTTCAGAATGTTAAATAGAAAGGTTGGACTGTTTGATTTTTTTTTTCATTTAAACTTTTGTAAAGTGCTTGTGTCTTTGATGGTTCAGTAGCTACCATTTGCATCTTTCTGTGGTCATCCAAATAGAAATTTTTCATCACTGTTCTCTTTTTCTGGTACCAGGCTGACTGAAAGATTGTTGTAAACCAATCTATGGTTCAGCGCGTTGACTGGCACCTATATTAAGGAACTGCAACTGATTGGCAGAACTACTAAACTGGGCACTTGGGTAAGCAGCACGTTGTAATTTAGTTTTATGATCTTCACATACCATGTGAAGAATGGCTGTCTCCCAAGTGACAAAAACAGACATTGTGCCCACATGGTGCCTGAATCCTTTCTGCTAGAGTTTAAAGATTAAGTTCTTCTCTCAGTTACCATACATTCGTGTAAATCGAGAGACTCCATTGATGTCAATGAAATTGTTCTAGATTAACACTGATAAACTAAAATCAGAATTTGGCATGCAATATATGTTTTAAAATCTGTGTGTGCAAAATACAATACACATACATAATCAGTCATTATTTTAGCATCCATTTGTAAAGTGCCTGGTAAGGTCAATTGTAAGTAAGCTCTGCCAGTACAAAGCGAGAACAAAAATAAATAGCAATTAAAATAAAAATACTTTGCATTACTATAGTGCCTTTCATCAGAGGACCTCAGAATGCTTTTACAAACATTCACTAATTAAGCCACACAATCTCTCTATGAGGTAGGGCACCATCTCATTCAAAATTAAATTGCATCTGAAGTTTAAATGTACCAACTGTTTAAGTACATACACAAACTCTACATAGATCAAGACCAGAAGTATACCACAACTCGCTGAAAATGCCAGGGGAATTCAGGTAAGGGAATCTAATTAACTCACTGGTAATTTGGCCAAGAAGCTGGGGTTCACACCACTATATTTGAGAAAAGTATTATGAAAATAACATATTGCCTGCTAAGGAGGTAATGTGGTCCACTGGCTGGATCACTGAACTGTGCTTATTCCCAGCTCTGCCAGTAGTCTGCTGTGTGTGACTTTAGGCAAGTCCTTCCACTCTATATGCCTTAGATATCTCATCTGTAAAATGGAGACAATGACACTTATCTCTTTTGTAAAGCTCTTTGAGATTCACAAATGAAAAGCATCAAATAAACTCTAACTATGTATTTTTATTAATTATTATGGAGATACCGGAATGTTCAAGAATGTTCAAGTACAAATATGTAGCTGTTTAATAGTCAACCATTTACAATACAGATTTGAATTTAGTTGCCTAGATAATCAAAGTTAGAGGTCCAAATAGATGACATTGTACTGGTACAATGAAAAGAACAGTAGAGAATGTGGGCCAAACTCATCCCCTGTGTAGGTCCATTGACTTAATTTGGTCCTTTGAGGTTTTCAAATGTCAGAATGTACAAAATATATGTCTTTGTATAAAGGATTTCCTGGATCTTGCCGAGAATTTCATTAATATGCACTGTGAAAAAGAAGACTACAGGAATAAAGCACTTTTGAGTCTCTGTCGAGTAATAACTAGAAAGGTGCTCTATAAAATTGGTCACATTTTGATCATTAAAACTTTGAAGGGTTTCCCAAACAACCTGATCATTCTAAATTGCATATAGAACATATTCTGGTTATTTCAGCTACTCCCCGTAAACTGAGATCTTTAATGTAATATTTCCCTCAGCTTAACCCCTTTATCCTACTCTTATTCCCCAAAGTACCCAAGCAATAACTGGTAACCAGAAATAATTCAGCTGCAGGTTTCTCAACAGAAGAGCCATGTATCTATCAGCTTGATATATTGTCTTTAAGATGCAATGTTGCTCAGAAAGCTCCCCTCAAGCTTTAATATCACTCTCAGGGGGCAACCACTCCATTTGCAACCTACTGAATCAACATCTTGTCCAGGAAATCCTAACTAGACCTGGTTAAAAAAAATCATGCTTCATCTACAAAAAGAGAGTATAAAGGATGGGAAAAAATCTTTAATTACCTGTCTACCTTAACTATTTTATTGTGAGAGCAAATGGAGAAAGAATTATGCATAATAAATGGTTTAGACTGGCAATACCACCAGTTTTGGGAGAAAAGGTGGACTAGGCAATAAGATACAGGAAGATGAGCCAAGAGAGGCATTCTGTTCCCAGATCTGTCACTGACTTGCTGAGTTGCCTTTGAAAAGTCACTTAACATCTGTGCCTCAGTTTCCTCAACAAAAAAGGAGCTAATGATAGATCTCTAAGATTTTCAAAGATGACTAAGGATCAAAAACCTTTATACTGTGGCTGCACCGTAAATGTTTCCTCTCTTTTGAAAGACTCTACTACTTTGAGAGTTATTTACCAATCACAAGAGTATTTCCATCATCCACAGGGCAATCTCTCTCAAAAACACAAGAAACTTTTAAAGTGCCGTCACCAAAAGTGATCATTATTATTTGAATGATAAAGTATTATACCCATTAAATGGGTCTGCGTTGTATTCTACACTTCAGTACAATGCCACATAACTTAATGAGAGCAAGAACAGGCTGAAGGGCTAAATTCTAATCTCTATTAAATGGGTGTAAATTCAGAGTAATTCCAGTAAAGTTACCCTAGATTTACAGTGGTTGTAACTGAGATCAGACCTGGTATAGCCATACTATCTGCAGAAGGCAAACACAAGAGTTTATAACTATGCAAATGTAATTCTAATAGTATGCCACATCTGCACATGCAAAATATTTAAAAATAGCACAGGTGCTGCATTTGCTTCTTATCTAAATGTTTTCCTTACACATGTGTGCATGCAAACTATAACAGCAGACATTTAACTACTGAGGAAGGAATTGGCTCTTCACAGTTTGTGCCATAAGATTGAGGAGCTATTGCAATGATAACAGAGTTTTGGATGAATGTCTTCTTAAGGCATGTTCACTCTTGCCCTTTTCCAGGTCTAATTCACACACTTCATTTCTTTATTTCACTGCATTGTTGTTTAGCCACCTCTGATTCATTTT